ATTGTATCTTTGATTCACGCACACACACGCGAGCAGAGAGCACAAGCACCCATACACTGGCAGCAAAGTTGCCGCTGTGGTTGCCTTTCAACACAAATACATTATACTTAGTGCCGCTGGTTGTTTGTTTGTGATGCTGCGTATTTCCGCTGCCATTTCATCCTTGCCATTGACGGGACTTTCACTGCTTTCACTGCTTTCACTGCTTTCTCAGCGCTCGAAAGCCCTCTTCAATCTCACGCCATTGTGTGCGAATTAAACGAAATGGCTAATGAAAAGTTTAACAGCCAATAAATAAGGCGGGCTGGGACATCAAACACCACAGTATCTGCTCTTGTCCTCTGAATGGAAGATAAATGTTGACTGATTCCCATTCATTAACTTTCCTCTCAAAAGCTTTGATTTGTTTATAGGACTACGCTAAATGGTGTATGCCTTTTTATTTATAGAATTTTAAAATCAGGTTTCAAAATGAAGTAAATCCCATAAATCCCATAGTGTGCAGCCCTTGCAAAATCACATCGTTTTGCTGCTAATTGGGCAATTAACTTTGATATCGACTTGGTAGAATTGCTTTTTAATTGCAATTAATGCCAAGAAAATGTCTTATTGTCCCGCTGCTGCGGAGCGGAACAAATAAGTGGAGGATGACGCTGTGGAGGATGACAAATTGCTGACAAGCATTCTGCGGCATTTGCTGCAGCACAATAAAAAAAAACACAAAAAGTCGGTTGTGAAAAAAGAATAAGTGAAGGCAGAAGTAAAATGCAAATGCTCGTGCCGGTTTTACTGCTCAAGTAGCCGCTTAAAGGCAAGTGCCAAAGACAATGGCCAAAAGCGAGATCTCCCGCCTCACACACACACACACACACACGCACACACTAACACTGGGCATCAAAGGACCTGGTGCAGGAAAAGCTGACAAAACCACAGCAGCGACGAGAACAACAACTGGAAATCAACAGCTGCGCGTGTCCTGACAGAAGGAGCACGAGAAAAGTTGAAGTAGCGACTCGAAATGCTCGGCATTCTTATTCTGTGTTTGCCATTGTTTAAATAGCCAAGTTAAGGGGACGTGGCTGGGCGGAAATGGCAAAGTAATAAATAAATTTCCTGCTCTTTTGCTGTTTTATGTTTGGACCGCTTTATTGCGGCTTCGTCTGCAGCGCCTAACGCTTCATTAACTTTTTGGCTTTTAATATACTCGGCCAGACCCGAAATTTCCGCCCTCCGCCCCCATTAACCCCCATGCCGCCCATTGGTGTTGTTGTCACTCAGCCAGGCGTCCACGAAATTGGAAAACATTTTTGGTTTCTTTTTCGCTTGTATTTGGCTGTTTTCTCTTTTTTAAAACTTCAGCGGAAAAAAGGGCCATAAAATAAATAAGCAGTGAGAACGAAACAAAAACGAAAACCGCCTACGGTCCATACAAAAAATCAAAAAACAAAAAACCGCCACTTTAACCCTTTTGGGTGTCGAGGTGCGAGATTTAGTGACACTTTAGCTGGCGGCTATCTTTCGAGTACCAGGCGCATTTGAAGAAGTTGCGAAGCCTACAGGTCATAAAGGTTTAAAGTCACTTCATTTAATGTGGGCGGAATATTTTAAATGTTTTGAGTTTTGCTTCAATCCCAAACTAATTTATTCAAACTTCTTCCCATACGTAGTTGTCAAATTGGGGTTCTTGAGCATATCAACTAATCTTATTGACTTATTCCAACCGTTTAAGATGTAATACTTTGTGTATACTTGTTCCTCCACATTTTAAAGCTCACTTCAACTACGCTCATTTCATTTGCCTAAGTTTCTTCAAACGATTCAGCCAAACTATAGTTGTGATAGTTGTTTTGAAGTTAAATAAACTATATAAACTGAGACTGAATTCAGTGGCTCAACTCAAGAACTAACAAAGGGAAAAGAAACCAACTCAACTCATGGGTTAACTCCGTCGCTCGTGCATTCGCATGTGTGTGTATGTGTGTGTGTGTGTGTGTGTGTGTGTATGTGTGCGTGAGTATGTGTGTGTGTACTCGAGTGCGTTGAATGGTGTGTTTATATGCGGCGGGAACAATTTTTTAACCCAGAACAAAACAAGGACAGCAAGGAAGACCGTGCTCAAAAAATGAACAGAACCACAAAATCATATTGTAAGCCTTGTCAGCTGGCACACGCTTAGAAATACGCAGCCATGCAGAGAAAGAAAAAAGACAGACATCTAAATGGAAACCAAAATGAAATCAACGTGTCTGGCTCTGAAAATATTTTGTGGTTAAAAATATTTGGATTCAAAGATGCAATTCAGATATAAATTCATTTAAAATAATTTTAGCAACCAAAAAAATGACATAAATTCATTATTCTATTATATAATATATTTTATAATATAAAGTAATATATAATAATATTATATACCAAAACTGATGCATTATTTATTTATAATATGCATTTAAAATATTCAATGTTTCAATATTCATCTTTATTTCTGATTTAACAGAAAATATATGTTAGTCTATGTTGTTGCCAACTTTGAAGACGGATAATATTTTTCTGCGTGCACACATGCGAGTATCTGTGGCTATTTCTATGCGTCCTTGCGCCAGGACTTCCGCTTCCTCTGCCCGTCGCTTATGCGTGTGTTATTTTAACAGCAATTTTAATGAAGCGCGAAACCGTTGAAATACAATTTGTAAAGCTGAGGGGCGCTGGATAAGGAGGCGGGAGCGGAAAGGCAACTGAGAAATGTGTGTGCAAAGCGAAGGAGGGGAATATCTGTTCGGGCCAGGTCTTTTTCAGCCTCTGGTAGCGCCAAATAAAAATGGCTTGCAAACGCGTTTGTGTTACTTTGTGACTCGCGAACGCGTTTTGTTCGCGAGTTTGTGCGAGTTAATTAAAAAGGGTTTTACAATCAGCGCACAAAGGTCTCCCCGGGGGCTGGTGTTTCTGTTGCCAAAGGAGCAAGTCTTCATATATTTCCATGTACTTTCGCCTAGGTTTTGGGGGGCATTAGAAGTTATGGCTAAATTTGTTTTGTCGGCAGTCCCTTCATAAAGAACGCAAGGCCGTTGCTATATTTTCAATTTAAGCTTTCGGGAAAATTTCTTCGTGTTTTATTGGGCTGAGCAAAATAAGCCATTTTAAGGCTATTACTTTTACTGTACTTGAACGGGGCTTGGCATTTGAAGGCACACAAAATTTAATGCCATTTCCTATTTAATGGAAGGCTAAGTGCTTTTAATACAAATAGCTAACCCTATGTGCTGCCTTATTTAGAAATTTAATCTAGTACTCCACCAATAACTAGTAAATATTTCCCATTGGTTGATTTTTATTGCCAGACATAAATGTGATCTGTCTTACTGCCTTAGATAAAAGCGAATTTAGCTGGCCAGCTTAAGTGCGACTTTAAAGCGTGCCATAAACACTTTTGCGGCTTCTAAGTGGTTTCTGCTTGTGTTCCGCAAACAAAAAAGTGTTGTTCCTTTGAAGCAGCGCTGCTTGCTGCCGTACTCTAGCTACCAAAGGACATTATTCCTTCCACGTTATCGCTCATTTTTGCCTGCTTTTAAAACCCGAGCGTTGTTTGCTTTGTGTTGGCCATGTTAGCTGTTCCCAGCGTCTAGTGCATCGCGGCTGCCTGGGCAAATATTTGAGCAAGTTAATAGCCAGGAGCAATGACGATGGCGATGGCGATGCCGATGCACTGCCGCGCAACTCATCATCCTCGCCAGCGTCTCGTCTGGCATTTGTGGCGCCCCCGGCTTGCCCAGAAGATTCCGAGCGGAGTGGGCTCCGGCCCAAATGGGGCATACTCGTAAGAACATAAGCGTGTTCGCTGCATGGGGAAGGGGTACCAGCCCATCATCAATGGCTCTTCTCACGCCAATGCGCAATACACTTCCACTTTATGCACATTTCCGGACTAGCGCGGCAAACAAAAAATGGGTGACGGGGCCAGATGGCATTCTCCAGTTCTCGGACAACTAGCTACCTGGTAGATGCCACAGACCCAAGGATATAGTGTAAGCAAAACAGTAACTATCTGAATCATAATGCAGAAAACAGCTTTAATGCAAAAAATAATAATTTTAATATTATTCGACATGACTAACTTCCGATTTCCCAACATTTTACAAATTTCCCACTCTCCCGAGGGAAAAGTGAGACACCATGTCAGAGTGCGATTACAGGGTACACTGATGTTGCCGCCCTCTCGTGTGACATGTGTAACGGGGGGCGTGGCCGGGGGAGGTACACGGAAATGGCATTGCATTCGGCAAACAACAAAAGGCCTGCAACAGTCGGCGAATTCTTAGAACCAGACGACGAGCTGGCTGTCGAGCAGGCGGATGATGTGTGGAAACGTTTCCATTTGAAGGGGCATCAAAGCCATCATCGTTTCCACTTTTGTAGCAGCAATGGAAACTGCTGCCGCTGTCGTTGCAACAGAATGTTGCTGCTAGTGTGGCAGGATTACAAAGTTCCACCTTATTGACTGCAACTGCATTTTTGCGCATTTTCACGCTATTGCCGTTCTTGGTGTGAAAATCGACGGCATCTGCGGCGACCAAATCCGGCAAATGCGGGTTACAATGCATTTTTAATTACTGGCTTGATTTGGGCAGTGGATGAGGTCAATTAAGAGGCTTAAAATAAAATAACCAATCGATATTGATGCTATTTTTAGTGTGTTTCACTCCATTTAAATTGCTGTACAAAAGGTAGAAAAGCTAGCCTTGACTTTTATTTCAAAATATTTCTCATCAGAAACCCAGCAAGGCAACAAAGCAATTGAAAATTTATTTTCAAGCGGAAATTAGCAAATTTCTACAAGATTTTCGACAGCGCTGTGCAACTGTGCGAATTGTGTTTTTTTCAACTCGATTTAATAAGGCTTTTTATTGAAGACACAAGCGAACCGTAAGATTGTGATTGAATTTGTGGAAGGAGCAGCAGGACATAGGTGTACTTAAGATAAACTCCTGTATCCCACACAGAAAACCGAAAGGATCATTATGCCACGGGGAAAGTTCGTGAACTACAAGGGTCGCACTCGCCAGTTCACTTCTCCCGAGGAACTGCAGCAGGAGTCCGAGGACGATAGCGACCAGGCCAGCGGCTCAGGGTCAGAGGGCGAAGATGGAAAAGCAACCCTTGGCGGAGCCAGTTCATCCTCCTCCATAGCAAAGAACCGCACCTGGCAAAAAGCGACTCGCCATCAGAAGCTCACATCAGCTGCGGGCGCGGGAGCGTCCAGTTCTTCCGAGGATTGCGAACCGGAATGTCGTGATGCCAAAAAGGGCGTGGCCTCACTCATCGAAATCGACAATCCCAACCGCGTGGCCAAGAGGGGTCCCCAAAAGGTGTCAACTATTATGCCCGATCACGCCAATCCGGGCCTATCCCGCCACGGCCGAGATCAGCCCAAGGAGCAGAGTGGGCGCCAGCGCTATGAGAAGCTCCAGTCCGCTGGCAAGACCACCGAGGCTAGGGCCGACTTGGCCAGGCTGGCTCTCATCCGGAAGCAGCGCGAGGAAACCGCCGCCAGGCGGGAGGCGGAGAAGAAGGCCGCCGTTGCGGTCACCAAGAAGCCGTTTGCCAAGTAGAGGATCCATTCTGTTAAATGCATACCCCTCCACAAACGGGCTTGAATAAGACACTTGGTAACACTTGAAACTACAGCAAGAATCATTTTAGGGGAGCGGTTGAAATTATTTCAGAATAAATTACCCTTGACGAGCATTCGAAATTATTTAAGTTTGTGTCTTTTGCACCTACGAATTCTACCCACATATACCAACTACTTGCATCATAAATGATGATATATGTATTTGTAATATTTTGTAATATTATTTAGCAATCGATATTATTTGGAGCGACCAAGTTATTTAGATTACTTGTAATTACGTGTCAGTGCGATTTATTTTCTACATTATATTCCCACTTGACGACCAGACCTTTTTGCATTTAGCGTATTTTGCAGCAGTTATCCCCTTTAATCCCACTGTGCGTAAATCGCATTATGGCCATAGAATGTGTCTGTGAGAGCATTTAGCCCGCTTAGCGGAGGTAATAGGCCAACAACGTGGGGGAATCGCATGGTTGACACAGGGGTTGGGTGGCAGAGGGCTTGGGGCAAAATGCTGACACATCTGGTCTGAAACTGGATCGCTGGCATTTTATTGGGTTAAGTGCGATGCAATTGCGTGGCTGAGTGAGTTGAACGCAATTTGATTTTTCACTTATGGGCTATGGGCACTTGCGATTTTCCAGCGATATGCGAGCGATTTTTAAATCGCGCGCAACGGAAAATATTCGTTGCATAATTTTGGGCTTTGACAGAATGTAAGTTTCCTCCGAACATTTGAAAACTTGTTTACAGTGCTAACGAGTGTACAGCTTTTTGTATACCCTTCTCCACACGGCATTCTCGTTTTTTTAGCCATCGAAATGTTTTTTGTTATTCTCCCATTTGGCTTATCTGCGCCGTGGCCATGGTCTTTTCCGGCTAATGATCAGAGCGCTGGCATCTCTACGATGTCCCATTGGGAGTTGTTACTTTTCTTCGAGTATTTTCCCCTTTTTTGACAGCCCTTGGCCACGGAACATCACAATGTAATCGAGTGTAGACACAGCGATAAAGTTAAATGGCAGGGCCGAAAAAAGTGCCTGCAAATTGGCCAATGCGGCGGATACTTGTTTTTTCTTGCGCTCGCTCTTTTGGCGGCCTTCGCAATGGAGTTCTTGGGCTGAATTATAGTTTTGGCGTGGCAGGATAATTAAAGTATGGCTGCAGTTTATAACACTGCTGGTGAAAAACGATTTTCAATTATGTTCCGCATTCGAGCCCGAACTAAGAACTACAACGCTCGAGCGCACCTGTGCACGCGCCTCAATGCGCACGGCTGCGCTTTTGGCAATCATCATTCCTCCGCCATATCCTTCCATATCCTTCCATCTCGCAGCCTCCCTTCTCTTAACTAAGGTCCTGTGTCGGTGCTGTTAGTGCCCTTTTTCCGAGTTGGCCACCTGCCATTTTGGGGTATTAAAAGTGCCCATGGATCATTTGCAATTTTAACAGTTTTTCCACTCTCTCCCTTGCTCCCGTGCTTTTTTCTGTTCTACACTCGAATATGTATGAATGGCTGCCACCAAGCGAAAATCAATTTAAAATATCTGGTCCAGAAAAAAGCACAGAGCCAAAATACTGAAAATACTGAATACAAGTGGTAAAAGTAAAATAATTGCGTATACGCCGTGGGGGCTTAGTGATTTTTGCTGGTTTTTTGTTCAACACGAAAAGGTGGCACAAATCGAATTAGGTTTGAAGCGCCTGCAAACGGAATGCAAAATACATTTTTGTTTTGGACTTGTTTGCTCTCTACGGTAAATGAAAACTGATATGAAATATTTACGCCTCCAAATATTTAGATTAAATATTTATACTTATATTTCATACACGCTTTGAAATTAACAGTTCAATTGAAAACCAGTTCTAAAATTAAATATAGTCACTAAATATAACGCTAAATGCATTTTTTTAGCAAGTGCAATTCCAAAGCTAAGCAATAAGTAAAACAAATAACCACTTGCACTTTGGGCTTTGGTCATCACAAAAATTGAAATACAAATTTTAAATAAATTGCATACAAATGCGCTTATTCAATTTCGAAAACAACAAAGTGGAAAATAAGAGAACAAGTTTTCCACTAACCGCAAAGCACTTGACACGCTCAGCTGCTGTCCAATCTAATGGACAACTTTTTCAATTTTTTTTGCCATGATGTCGGATGAAGAACGACCCTATGTACGAGTATCTGTGTAAGTGCGAGTCCAAGTTCTCAGAAATCCACACACAGATACAGATACAGATACAAGTACAAACACAGGCTTACACACACACTCAGGCACTCGGGGCTAAAACAATACGATGGAAAATGCCAATAAATGCAAATAAATGTAAGCTTATTTCTCCTAGATGGACGAGCTAGTTCCCCGAGCTCCGTGTGCTGGCTGCTCACTTTATCCATTTGCTTTTGGCTCTATGCTAAGCCAATCAATGTTTCGTGCAGTGTAAGCTGTGAGCAAGTATCTGTGTGCTGGCTCGTCCTATCTCGTTGCTGTGGGATAAGCAAAATAATGACATTCAGTTCAGAGTGTGCTATAAACAAAGCCAAGAATCTATTGGCAAACATTGAAATTACACATAAAACACTATGGGACAAAGGGGAGTAGGGAAAGAAGGTCAATAAAACAACTTTCGAATTGGCAGATCAGTTCCGTGCACTGCTTTATAGACGCATAACAGCCATATAAGAATAAAATATGAAAAACTCTATTTAAAAACTAAAAGTTTCGCAAAATCTTTATTTCAAAATAGAAATGTACACTTAAACAGAATTAACCGAATGGAAAAAATAAAAAACTGGCCGTAGGCATGTATATCAAACAGATGTATTTAAAACTATGTGCATATAGAGATGTAGATTGTAGATTATCGCCGGAATTTAGAGCACCTAAATAGGGCGAACCATATTAAGCGTCCCTCTTGGAGGAAATATCTGGTCCTTCTTAGGAGTTCTTCTGGGCAACCTTGACGATGACGCTCTTGACCTCCGTGTAGTTGGACAGAGCGTACTCTCCGTTCTCGCGTCCATGGCCGGACATTTTGTAGCCACCGAATGGAGCCTGGGCAGCCAGGGCATTGTAGGTGTTTACCCACACGGTTCCGGCACGCAGACCACCCACAATGTAGTTGGCCTTGTCCAGATCCTTGGTGAAAACGGCGGCGGCCAAACCGTACTCGGAGTTGTTAGCCCGCTCGATGACCTCATCCAGCTTCTTGAAGCGGATCAGCTGCTGAACAGGTCCGAAGATCTCGTCCGTGGCAATGGTCATGTTATCCTGCACATCGGCGAACACCGTGGGCTGGACAAAGTAGCCAGGCAGACCTTCTGGGCGACTGCCACCGGCAACCAACTTGGCGCCCTGCTTCTTGCCTGTTTGGATCATGCCAAGGATCTTTTCCATCTGCTCCTCGTTCACCTGAGGACCTTGCTCAGTGTTCAGATCGAAGGGATTGCCCACGGTGCGCTTCTTAGCCCGCTCCGCGCTGCGCTCGACAAACTCGTCGTAGATCTTGTCCTCCACGAAAGTACGAGATCCCGCACAGCAGCACTGGCCCATGTTAAAGAACAGGCCAAAGTGAGCCGTCTCGACGGCGTAGTCCAAATCGGTGTCAGCCAGAATAATGTTGGGCGACTTGCCTCCCAATTCCAGTGTCACTCGCTTCAGGTTGGTATTTCCGGAAGCGAGTTGGATAAGCTTGCCCACATCGGTGGAGCCGGTGAAGGCCACCTTATCCACGTCACAGTGGTTCGCCAGGGCAGCGCCAGCGTTTCCAAATCCGGGCACCACATTGACCACACCCTCAGGGAAGCCAGCCTCCTTTACCAACTGGGCAATGTACAAGGCAGTCAGACTGGTCTGCTCAGCGGGCTTTAGCACAATGGTGTTGCCGGTGGCCAAAGCGGGACCCAGTTTCCAGGCCATCATCAGGATGGGGAAGTTCCAGGGAATGATCTGGCCGCACACGCCAACGGGTTCGTGGCGGGTGTAAGTGAAGAATTCTCCGTCCATGGGAATAGTCTTGCCATGGGTCTTGTCCGCCCATCCAGCGAAATAGCGCAGGTTCTTGATGGCAGTCGGGAGATCCACGTTGTAGGACATGCTGTAGGGCTTGCCGTTGTCGAGGGTCTCCAGACTCTGGCGGGAAATTGAAATTGATAAGCATATAAATATACATTAACTATCTTAACATTCTAATCTTCTAATCAAGTCATTATAGGCCTTGAATACTTTAAATGTAATATTTTCCTAGGCACTTAAGAGCCTTCCATCCCATGTCTGACTATATAGTTTGTGGTACTTACGGCAAGATAGACCTGATCGCGTTCCATGAGATCAGCCAGGCGGTAGAGAAGACGACCGCGCTCCGAGGCATCCATGCGACGCCACGGGGATCCCAACCTAGTGGTCATGGAGTGGTCATTAACAAACCCAGTGCATTTACACCCAAATCTCATACTCACTTGAATGCATCGCGGGCTGCCTGGACGGCAATATCGACATCTTCCTTGCCACCACACTGGATTTCGGCGATGACTTCCGTGGTGGTCGGGTTGATGGTTTCGAAAATTTTGGACGACTTGCTCTTGTGCCACTCGTTGTTGATAAAGACCTGCAATAAATAGTTAACATATTCATTTAGTGCCGTATCATAACCAGCTCCATCATAACCTCTTATCTTGAATTCATTTGTATTTTACATCGTTTTGTTGCCGTGACAATCAAGCCGCTCCTCTAAGTGATAAGCCCTTGACTGCTGTTATTTGTTATTATTGGCTGCCGTGCGTGTTGTTCCTCTATCGCATGCTCAGCTTGCATGAGACTACCTGTATCTGACAATCCCTCCATCCCGGCTAATCTGAAACGTTTAGCCGCTAACTGATTAAAATTGAAACGAAGTCAGCCCTCAAACCTCCTCACGTCATCCTATTTCATACTAGATTTGTTCTTCTCCTTGGTTTTTATTTTTGCATACCTCACATCTATCTTTGAATTTCACAATGTGCTTGCGAATATAAAACTTTCCACCAGACATACCTAACAAAATATAAACATAGCCACGGCACGTGTGGCTTTCGGGTTTCGGGAGTCTGGCTAGACGAACATACTGGTTCGATGAGGAAACCCAAACTTTATAAGTGTGCCATGTTATCTGTCCCAGTAAAGACGCCCAAAATAGTGGGGCTACCGGTGATAAGGTGTGGAAACTGCCGATGGCAGAAAATACAATTAGATAAATAAGGAGATTAGAACGTTTGTGGGGAGTGACACATTATGGGCTGAAATTTCTTGTTATGAAAGCAAATTCGCAGATTCTGGCATGCTAAAGGGTTGCATAATGTGCAATTCACTGAAAACAAACATATGCCCAACTCATGAAAAGATTACTTATATGATAAATATATGATTTCCGGAATAATAATACTAGCTCAAAAGTTAGGACAATTTTTTTTTAAATTTGTTGAAGAATTTGTAGGAAGAATGTTCTAAGATACCTGAAAAAAAGATACCTAAAATTCTGTAAAAATGGTTTTATATACGAACTTCCAGCTAGATGAACTGCTCTAATTTTACTGGATTCCAATAAACATCTGGACAAAAAGCCAATTTGGCTCGCTTCCCACCGCAATTCTCTCTCAATTAATGCAAATGAACGTTAGTTTTAATAAAAAATAAAAACGCCAATCGTAGAATTTATGCAAATTTCCCCAGCGAAGAATCGAAACCGCGAGGCGAAGTGTAGAATAAATGATGAGCATTTGCGGCAAACAAATTTTTGTTTTGCGTGTGCGAGCGCCACTGACGTAACAAAGAAGCCGGGGGAATGGCAAACAGCGAGAGGCGGAAGCAAAAATAACAACAAATATAGCCGGCGAACTACATATGCAAGCAGTTGTTTTTGCGATTTCGATATCGCCTGGTGTACACATATATGTATGTATGTATTCTTTTCAGGCGCCGGCCTTTCGGTTCGCTTAGGCAGCCTAATCCCCTACAATACCCTACAATCCCCGACATCTGGCGATAAACATTTGGTGTACGTGATCTGAATGCGGTGAGACACGCCCGCGTTTCGCTGATTTGCCAATTTCCTGTCGCTAAACCCGAAATGGGAGCACCCGAAAGCTGGATTCGCATATGTAGGGTATTTGAGGTGGGCCATAGCCCGATAACAGCTGCAGTTGCCCGGCTCAAGGTCAACCCAAAAACAAGTCGGATGCTCACTGTAGTTGAGTGCGTTCAGATTGCAAGTGCGATTGCGACAACTGCCGCAATTTATTTATAACGCTTTTCACTTTTCATTCCTTCCGGACGTGCTACAACGTGGCTAGAACTTACCCCTGTGTAGAGGATATCGGGCGTGGTCTGCGGCTGCGGGAGGGAGGAGTAGTTCGCAGCAGCTGCTGCGAAGTTCTTAGTCTGGGCACGCAGCAGGGCACCGGTCTTCAAAACGCGCAGCATCTTGACTGATATTTGTACTTTTCCGGACAGAAAAACGAGTGGGAAAGAGCGAGAACCAAAACTAGAACTGCGTCTTAATTGTTCAGCGGTCGTCGGGCAACTGAAACGGCTTCGCAGCTTTGCCGCTCGCGAAAACTACGTAGGAATATTTCGAGCGTCTAGAGGGGAACTCGCACCACGCCGCCAGTGCTGTCAGAATAGCATGGCCAGAAATAGCTAGGTGCGCTCCTGTCTATGCGATCAGAAGCAGAATGAAGAAGAATACCGAAATTTAGACGGAAATTTTATAATTTTTTGTATCTATACTCCAAAGTATCTAAAACTAATGTTAACTTGAACTGATATACATAGCTGGCTTTATAACTGAAAAGAAAATCCTCCGAAAAATAATTACTAATTCAATAAAAACACTAAAGTGTAAAATCAATATTATCACAAAATAAAGCTATTTTATAATATATTTGTGTAATATAAGCATATGATGGTTTCAATAAAAATTGTAATAATTTGCATAAAATGATTAAAAGCTAATTTGCCAGCACCGCCGGCTGCTGATAAAGCCAGAGCGAGATAGCTACCCAATAATCTCTTCAATTGGGAAACCTGAAAGAGAAGGAAATCAATAACAAAGAGTACTAAAAACTATAACCAGAAGTACTTAAATTAAATTGCATTTGCATGTGGAGATAAGGGTGAGGCAATTATAATAGTGTTTATCTCGTTGCGATACTCTTTATGGCACTGCATGGAACATAGATACATTTGTGTATTATTTGGCAAACCACCACGGTATAATTTATCATACGATTTCGATTAAAGAAAAATATTCCAGAACTTTGTGCTGTTCGTTTATAATGACTGGCAATTTGATATAATTTCAAGACGAGAGAAAATGAATTTAAAACCAAGTGAAATAGAAACATCTCAAAGCATATCAGACCATGCAATCAATGGGTTTTAGAATTCGTATTTACAATTATCTTAAATAATTTATAGAACAGATTGTGCACTCTTAACTAGCAAGACTTTCACCCAAATAATGATGAATAAGGTGTTTTTATTTAATTTGGCAGAACACGAAGAATTAAGGGCTTTTATTTGCGCAAAAGTTATTGAATAAAGTCAGGAAATGGTGAAATGTCCGAAATCGTGTGTATTGATTTTACTGTGATTTTTATTATGCTGCGTTTCACTTCATTATTTTGCTGACTTCTGAACATTTTCATCCCCACCATGAGCACTCGCATAATAAAAATGGCTTTGGCATACTTTTCGGCTGTCAGGCATATTACGAGCACAAAATTGATGAGCGAAAAGAGGACGAGATTTATTTCAACATAATTCATTAAACGCGAGTTAGGCCAATTTGTCAAAATCTTTCGAAATTTATTTCACTCGTAAATTGAAAGCTCAGCGTCGGCTGTCAAGAGAATCACGCATCACGCATACGCATCGTTGGCCAAAACAGACGGACAAAACCAATCGCAGTCGGAAAACTAATTCAATACAATGACCCCACTTCGTTCGCAAAACACATGCATCTGAAATGGAGGCTGAGTAAACATTTGTTCGACTCCGGCTCCATTCCGGTCGATTTTCCATCCAGAGGGGCCAATTACCATCGCCGAAACACCCGAATAAACTTTAATGGCAATTGTTATGCGATGGAGCCGGTTATTGATGATTCGATTCTGCTGTCGCTGCGGTTGCTGTCCTCAGCTGCATGAAATATTTAATAACCGAGAGTAAACAGTTTGGCGTAAAAAATATATTGCATTCGGACAGCTCGGCCCAGGACACGCACTTAAATGCCATCATTGATGGCTGATTGCTGGACGCAGCACCTACATACATATGTATGTACATATGGGTGGCTTATAAATGCGAAAATGAAATTTACAACAATTTGTGGGAAATTACTTTCAATTGAATTTAATTACGCCTGGTGGGAGTCGATGTCGCTCCTTGTGCTCCTGCAATTTTATGGATGATTACGTAAATTAAGTTTGGCTTGTGTGTGCTGGTTTGGTACTCGAGTATGGAGCAGAGGTGGGAATGTAATTAACACGCGTGATATTTGTGCTTCCTGGGCACTGAAACTGAACTGGCCAGAGGGAAACATTGTTTTGATTCATATTATCACTGAGTAGGAATTAATCTTGCGCCAAGTAAAGATGATCAGCTTGTTTTCAAACAAATAAATATTAATTAAATAACGTATGTTCCATTTCTGTGGCTTGAGAAACGTAACTTAGGAAGGACATTGGATATGATAAAACAATTTTAATATAGAATAGTTATTGACACAGAGTCAACAAAGTGAAGCACTAAAAGCTTTTTTCTCACACCTAAGCACTGCAATATTCAAATCATAGGAATGTTATAAATGGACTTTTGTTTGGTCAGCTAAAATCAAGAAACGTCAAGCTGGCCGAAGGGAAATCCATCAATTTTGTGCTGTAATGATCTCTGTCAAAGGTCAAATCAAACAATGGAAATCCTAGACCAAAATCTACGTGACCCACTTAGGAGCTTGGCCAAAACCATAACCAACAACCCTAATGCCTTATGCTTTTGGCACACAATGTAAAAGAGGAGCGTGGAAAAAAGGGAAGATCCGCGTACAGCCATGGAAAATATAAGCGAAATGTATGCAAATGGCTTATGGCTGGACTTTGCTTACACTTGCTCCCACCTTTTTTTATCGCTCACTTTTTCAGGGAGTCAGGGAGTAATGGCTCGTTATAATGGCAGCAGAAGGGTCAAGCGGTCTGTGGATAGTTATGACATAAGTAATTTGTTAAGTTATTAACCCGTAACCCGTAAGGGTCTAATCACTCGCCTGCGCGCTTATCAGACACTTTGGTAAACAACAATTATGGCTTTTATTGCAGATATGAAACCTACAAGGCCACGCTCAAGAAAATCCCCGCAACACGTCTCTCCCGACTGACCGAAGCCCTGGCCAACTACGATCCGGTGCTCAATGAATACTTTTTTGATCGCCACCCCGGGGTCTTCACCCAAATCCTCAACTATTACAGGTGAGTGTCCAAGTGCTGAGACGTCTAATTAGGCAGCTAAAAGCCATTCGGACGTGCAGTGACTTTGAAAGTGGACTGGGAGCCTTAAGCATGGTAATTACCCCATTTAGTTCAGTCGAATGAAGTGAGAAGGTGGGACAGTTTGCTGGGGAAAATTCCAACTAAGCGCTTCTTGAGCTACCTTTGGCATTTCAATTTTTGCTCTTCTCGGCAATAATTGCCCTGATTAATGGGCAAGCGTATCAGGAGTCAGTTATCGTTATGGATTGCTTGTTGAATAAACAAACTAATATTTTAATTGTTTCCCTCGGAGCAGAACGAACTTGCCTCCGCCATTAATCTAAAGTTTTTCAGCTGCAAAGTTTATCCACAGTTTTTCGGGGTCATTAGCGGGCTCATTTATCTTTGCCGTGAGCTGAGCTGAGCTGAGTTGAGTTGAGGTGTTGTCCGTTGGCCCGTTGCGATGACTTAAGTTGTTTAAAATTAATGAAAGTTTGCTTTGCTCATCACCCAGTGCCGTCTCCATCCGCACCTGGAGCTGCATCTGCAGAATGAGTTGTTTTCGCATAAAACAACGCTGTCAGCAACCCACGGTCTTTCATCTCCATTGATTGGGCTGGAGCGTTCGTAACCCCATTTTTCCGAACACCCATGGCTCCGGGGGCTTTGGCCAAACAGTTTTCCAACTCAATTAACCAGGCACCGACGGCCAGGAAAATGGTGTCAAAGAAGGGCAACATCCTGCGTTGATTGGAAATGAAACTGAGTCCCTCCAGGGGGTGTGGTTATAGCTAGGGGTCCTTTGGCGACCCACCCTCCTTGGGGAATATACTTGTATGTATAATCAAATTATGCACGCACCAAATGCTCCAGACACTTTGTATGAAACGATTTTGTATAGATAAGCTGTAGACGATGCAAAAATGCAGTAAAAGAACAAAGCGAAATGCGGGTCGAAATAGTTATTTATCGCTTATAGTATAAAGATGGAAATTTATGCCACTGGTTGCGGAATGAAAGGTCCTGTAAAGGAAAAATCATTCCTTCCAAATAGTTGGAAAATTTATAATTAGTATTTTTTAAATTCTGCTTAGGGACTCATGTATTCTTTGGCGATTTTAGTTAATTGTGTAATTTTCGTAACTTGCGCATATATGCGCATATATATAAATTACTCAATTTTCGGCAGTTATCCAATCGGCATAATTATTTATGCGCATTTAAACGCGGAGACTCTTTTTCGCCTGATCGGCTCACGAGCTCGTTGAGGTCAGCCATAAATATTGATTGCACCGGTTGTACGCTGCGTATGCGTAATATTTGTTATGCACACTTGATGAAGGAAAACGGCGAAGAAATGCACAGGTGGAGGATTAAGAGAGAATGGAAGTGATTTCATCGAAACGTAATTTGAGGACGTGAAAAATAAATAAATGGCGGAAAAGCGGCATAAAAAGTTGACCGAATTGCGGGCTTTATGGGGAAAACCAATTAACAATCCACGTGGTCGAACGTGGAGGGATCTATCGAAAAGCCATGACAATGACTGCAGCGCAATTTAAAATATTTAAAGGTGGAGTGTGAGCCATAAAATGGGCATGCATGCGAATCCGAAATACATTTGCTTCGACTGGGCTATTGATCATGATACCTTATACGGCTGGAGATTTCAGACATTAATAAATATCAGTCATTGTCAGAAATGGAAAAGGATCAGGATCGAGAGTAAAAACGGCGATTGGCAAGTTACGTAGCGAAATATTCTCTTATTTTCCCTCTTTTTATAATATTTTTTTGGGGAATCCATGGTGGAAAATTATTTTAAGCAGCACAAAAGCTCGGTCAGCACAAGAGCTGAAAAAGTTGCACCAAATATGCTGGGAACCATCACGGAAAAAGGATTGTCAGGATGGCCGCACATGTGTGTATGTAAGTGTGTGTGTGTGTGTGTGAGGGGGTGGCTTGGGTGGTAGTGAAGATATCATCCAAAAATAAAACCAGGCAAGGACTCGCCCCGCACTCGGCGACTGTCCGGCAGCTGATATGGCATTACATGTTGGCCAACAACTGTGGACAAGGACGATCCCTCCCCGTTTTTGTTTTTTTTTGGTACTCCCTCGCAGCCATTTACTGCAATTTGAGCACACACTTGCATACTCACACACACACACATACAGGGCAGTGAAAGCATCACAATTTGTTGCTGGCCAAAAGAATGGAACAATGGCCAAGGCAGCATTATGAATATGCCAAGTGTTGGGGAAGGGGGTCAAGAGGTGGGTGTGGAATGGCCATGTCGGCTTCTTCCTTTT